CCAGGAGAGTGCTGTGGGAAACAGTGTCAAAAGATTTACTAAAGTCCAGGTAAACAACATCCACAGCCTTTCCCTCACCCATTAAGTGGGTCATCTTGTCAGAGGAGGAGATCTGGTTAGTCAAGCAGGACCTGCCTTTCATCAACCAATGCTGACTGGGCCTGACCACCTGATTGTCTTGTACATGCTGTGTGAGATGGTGCTCAAGATGATTGTAAACTTCCCTGGCAGCAAGGTGAGACTGACAGGCCTGTACTTCCCTAGATCCCCCTTCTGGCCCTTCTTGGAGACAGGTGTCATGTTTGCTAACCTCCAGTCAGCTGGTACCTCCCCAGCTATCCAGGACTGCTGATAAATGACTGAAAGCGGCTTGGTGAGCACTTCTGCCAGCTCCCTCAGTACCCTTGGGTGGATCCCCTCCAGCCCCATAGACTTCTGCGTGTCCAAGTGGTGTAGCAGATCACTAACCATTTCCCCCTGCATTATCAGGGCTCCATTCTGCTCCCCATCGCCGTCTTCCAGCTCAGGGGGATGGGTACCTGAAGAACAACTGGTCTTACAACTAAAGACTGAGGCAAAAAAGGTACTTCAGCATTTTCCTCATCTTTTGTCACTATGCGTCCCCCGCATCCAATAAAGGATGGAGATTCTCCTTAGCCCTCCTTTTTCTGCTAATGTATTTATAGAAACATTTTTCATTGTCTTTTACAGCAGTAGCCAGATTAAGTTCTAGTTGGGCTTTCATTCTTCTAATTTTCTCCCTACATAACCTCACGACATTCTTGTAGTCCTCCTGAGTTGCCTGCTCCCTCTTCCAAAGGTCGTAAATTCTCCTACCCCCTGCCCCAAGTTCCAGCCATAATCTGTTCAGCCACGCTCTAGCTTGCCTTCTGGCATGTGGGGATGGCCTGCTCCTGTGCCTTTAAGACTTCCTTCTTGAAGCATGTCCAGCCTTCCTGGCCTCCTTTGCCCTTCAGGACCGCCTCCCTCTGGACTCTGCCAATCAGTCTCTAAACAGGCCAAAGTCTGCCCTCTGGAAGTCCAAGGTGGCAGTTCTGCTGACCACCCTCCTTACTTCTCTGAAAATCAAAAGCTCTATTGTTTCATGATTACTGTGCTCAAGATGGCCTCCATCGCATCACCCACAAGTCCTCCTCTGTTCATAAACAACGGGTGCAGTGGGGCGCCTTCCCTAGTTGGCTGACTCGCCATCTGTCTCAGGAAGTTATCTTCCACGTGCTCCAGGAACCTCCTGGACAGTTTTCTCTCTGCTGCATTGTATTTCCAGCAGACATCTGGTAAGTTGAAGTCCCCCATGAGAACAAGGGCTAGTGATTGTAAGACTTCCGCCAGCTGCTTATACAATATTTCATCTGCCTCTTCATCCTGATTGGGTGGTCTCTAACAGACTCCCATTATGACATCTGCCTTGTTGGCCTTCCCCCTGATTCCCACCCATAAACACTCAACCCTATTGCCACCATCATTAAGCTCTAGACAACCAAATGCTCCCGAACATAGAGGGCTACCCCACTGCGCCTCCTTCTTTGCCTGTCCCTTCTGAAGGGTTTATAGCCATCCATTGCAGCACTCCAGTTGTGCAAGTCATCCCACCATGTTTCCATGACGGCAACTACCATAGTCTTCCGGCTGCACAGTGGCTTCCAGCTCCCCCTCTTTGTTGCCCATGCTTTGTGCACTGGTGTAGGTGCACTTAAGATGGGCTGTTGATCCTGCCACCTTTTTGGGGTGAGAAGCCCCAATTCCTACGTGATTATTCATAGGTGCTTCCATGGTTGCTGACACATCATTAACCCTTGTGTCTTAGCTGCCACACACATCTCCATCCCCTACCTCTGCTGAGACAGGGGATCAAAGGACCTCATTAGCACAGTGTCTTTCAAACATTGGTGTGCTCCTCCCAGGCTTATCACTTGTGAGCCTGGTTGTATCCCTTTCTCCCTTCAAATCTAGTTTAAAGCTCTTTCAACGAGCCCTGCTAACTCCTGTGCAAAAATCCCTTTCCCCCTTTGGGACAAACATACCCCGTCTGTTGCCAGCAGCCCTGGTGTCATGTAAACTAACCCACGATCAGCAAACAGAGCAAAACAGTGTTTTACAGTCACTTACCTTATAATATAACCAACAAGATGATCAGTGTGTGGAAGTACAAAGAGGGATTTTCCAGAAAGGTCACAAGCATTACATAAAGCCGCTGCCCTCTCTGATGCAATAACATCTTCCCCTAGTGAAGTGAAGGAAGGCACAAGTAAGCAGTATGTGGTGCTGCAATGTCAAACTAGCTCTAAAAGCTTGACCAGTACAAGGTATGGAAAAATCTAATATAGATAAAACAAAGCCCACGTTCATTTTTACTTCTTTCAGAGTACTATGTGCTTCGTCCAGCAGAACACACTGCAGAAACTTTCTAGGAGTGGCTTAGCTAGCAACAATCTACAAGTACGACATAAGTTTTTCATCTCCCTCACAGAATTAACTGTCCAGTGTCTTGAGAAATACAATAGCACCCAGAAGACACAAACATATATAGTAGGTGGAGAAAAAACAAAAACAGAAACAAAAAATGGTTTTCCAGACACTAGAAAGTATGCAGCTACAGCTGAAGCAGCAGCTCTACAGAAACATAAGGTTAAAACATATCACATTCCACAGCTCGACTTGACTCCAAAATTTTGTTGATTAAGCCTGAGTTAAACTAAAAGGCTTCTGTAAGTACCAAATACCCTTCCTCTAAGTTCTCACTGCTTTTATAGCTTTTCTTGATCTCAAACAAGGTTTAAAATGCAACTTGTTTACAAGGAGTCCCGTCACATATATTACACTAGCAAAGCATTTTTGATACTGTGTATCGAAAGATGGACTTGGACTCAGGAGGAAGAAGTTAAGGATAAAAGTATATAAAACTGTCCTGAGCACTGTTTGTCTGTACACCTTCCTGTAGCCACAATACATTTAAGGTAGATGACATTAGATTAATAACTGCAGATAATGTGACAAGTGATAGTCAGCTCAGTCCATCAGGCCTTCTGAAAAATGAGATCACCACAACTATGCACAGAGGTTTCTAGTACCTGGAGGTAATGGTGTTTTTTTCTGAATCAAAACCACAGCGACTTTCGTATTTCTTCCCTGCAAACTTTGCCTAAAATAAAAACAACATGGCACAGCATCAAGGTTTCACTTCTTATTTCTGAATAATCAGAACAAAATGAGATTTCAGTCTAGATGGAAGTATTGAAAGAATGTTATATAGTGAATAAAATCCAAACACAACAATATGCTGCATCATCCACAGAATGCTGTGTTCCCTTTTTGTTCAGATTGGACAGAATAATCTTGCTGAGTTTTAGCAAGTAAAATTTCAGGGGCTGTTTTTACTTAAGTAACTTTTACAAATAAACCATTAAAAAAAGTTTCTTTACTGTCAGTCCTACATTAAAAAGCTAAGTTCAGGCTGCTCTTAATTTGTGCCCAAGAACAAAAAATATTTATATGTTTTAGAATTCAAAAATGATTCTGCAATTCATACTTACTATTAGCTTGTAGCACCTTATGAGCTAAGGGAAAAAACTTACCTGACAATTTCAACTCGAGTAGCACATTCCAACTGTTTTTCTTTCCATTGTGGCTCATCCCAGTCTAGTTCATAGAACACCACCACAAGTGCTGGAACCAAATTCAGGTGTTTGTTCATCCAACCGGTCTTCAGGATTCCTTTTGGGATATACCATTCATAGGAAGTCCTCTGAAAATATTGATGTTATTAAAGCAAGCTACCAAATCCATTTACAGGCATTTACAGCAGGAGAAAGGAAATTGCCTCTACATTCTTGTCACTTGACAATACGTTTGTCATCTTTCCTTTAACAACATTCCCCTCAAGCCTTCGCTTCCCCTAGAGTAAGACACACCCCTCAGTACCTGGCACTAGGGCCTGATGTCTGAGATATCAGCAACAAAGAACAACAGATTCCAGGTAGACTGGAGAACGGAGTCAAGTTCAGAAGCATGTTTCACACACTTCCATGAAATATTAAGCTTAATTTAAAAGGGGGCTCTCAAACAGAGCCAGGAAAAACAAGCTTGGATTCTGGTTGTTTGTCAGCATCAGAGAACTGTGTGGTTTTCCAAGGGTTAAACCCATTGACATTGCTTCTTAACTGCCATCGCAAAGCAGAAAGTAGAGCTGAGATACTCCTTCTGCTGCGTTTCACTTAGTTAAAGGTTTTGTGTTTCTTCAGAATATACTAATTTCAAATATCTAGTTTCTCCAGAGTTAAACTTCAGGTTTCATTAAAGCTCAAATTTTAGAAGCATACCTTAACGCTGAGTAAATGAACAGCAAGTACTTTAAAAAGTAAATCATACTGGCTTCCTCTGCTTCTGACTTGTGGGCTAAGACACCCGGTTTCCTAGGCATCCACAGCACTCCATCACAACGCCCTTGGCTTCCCCCTCAGCCCTGACAATCTACCTCAGACTTCAAGCTCCCACGCTTCCCTCCCAACGGCGAGCGAAGGGACAGCAGAAGCCCGGCTGAGCGTCGAGCAGCGCGAGCTAAATCATACTGGCTTCCTCTGCTTCTGACTTGTGGGCTAAGACACCCGGTTTCCTAGGCATCCACAGCACTCCATCACAACGCCCTTGGCTTCCCCCTCAGCCCTGACAATCTACCTCAGACTTCAAGCTCCCACGCTTCCCTCCCAACGGCGAGCGAAGGGACAGCAGAAGCCCGGCTGAGCGTCGAGCAGCGCGAGCGCGGCTCCGCTCACTGCCAACCGGGCAGATCCGACCAGGCCCCCGACACGGCCCTTCCCTTCAGGCAGCCACCA